AGCATGGCGATGGGACTTCCACCACCAAGCAGAAATCTTGCCTGCCTCATGCGCTAAAAGAAGTCATTGAGGGCCTCATCATGGATCGCATTGATCTTGGAGAAGAGGTCTCGATGCCCTTTGTCAAATCCACCATCCTGTTTTGCTGCAACTTGTGGAATGAAAACGTGTTGACTGTCCAGAAGATGATGGAGGCAAAGCAGATGGATCTGTTGCAATTGCACGATGAGAAGCTGTCCAAAATGACCGCTGAGCAAATTGACCAAACCTTTGAGAAGATGAACCAGCATGCAAAGGAGGTCTTGCAAGTGGTCAACGTGGCTGAGACCGATGGTGCTCTGTTGCAACCAGGTTGCACAACGGCAGTGTCTAATGGTGTTGTCCGTATATGCACTACGCTATAAAATAAATATATATATCATTGGGCACATCGGAATTTATGCATACCTCTGCAGTAGTGTATCATGTGTACATATATATATATACAATTGCAGTGTGTATACATTATATATATATATGTATTTTAATATACATATGGAGGGGAAGCTATGGAAGGCACTTGTAGCTACGAGTAAAAGGGATGCTCATGGATGTTCTAAGTGATGGGTTTGCAGGGCGGTCATTGAAAAACTACATCTGTCTTTTTTGACCCATGTCTGTTGAGGAAACAGGCCCAGCGCTTGTGCAACCAGTTCGGGATTGTGAACAAATCCACGGAGAAGCCTGGAGCACACCTCCCATACTCTCACCCAAGTCTAGAGGCTGTGAGGACACACGTCAAGACTTTGGTTCACCAAAAGAAAATCCATGAGAGATTGATTGCCAACTTCGACCAAGTTTGGTCATTGAGGTTTAGGCCCAACAGGAAATCTTTGATGAAGGAATCGTCTCTTCGTGGAGTTGTCAAGGACCCCTTGATCAAATCAGCATTGATGCGGAAGATCAGGCACTGCCTGGAGCGGTCATTGGACTTACCATTCAGTGAGACAGACCCATCCGGACGCGGACCCCACGAGTTGCGAGCACCTCGGGTTACTGGAGGGGCAGCAGCGTCAGCTTTTGTGGACGAGTGGCGTGTGCCTAGAACGGTGTGCACACTGTCCTTCTCAGATGGCCATATAGGACGCTCCTACATCACAGTTCGCGAAGGCACGATGAGCGAGGACGTCCGCGGCAAGCTCAACACAGAGTTATCCCGCTACCTGTTCATTGACCAGCCACAGCCTCGCTCACACGTCTGGACACAGGAAACATTTGTGAGCTACCTATCCTTCTTAGCAGAGGAGACTCGGCTGTTTATATACAGGCTTTGTGTCAACCCCAAACAGGTGCAGGCAAACTGGGTAAACAAGAAAGGATAAAAAACAATGTGTTCTAAGTGCTGTTTGTTTGAAGGGAATGAGCCTTTGGTGACTGTCGTGTACATTTCTGGCTCCTCTGCGTGTGCGCTCCAAGCAAAGAGAACAAATATATATATATATGTTATACAATGATATATATATATATATATGTGTGAGATATAACTATACATATCATATAGCTTCAGAAAGTACTGGAAAGCCAGAAAGCGTTGAAAGAGTATGTTCTAAGTGTGCAGCCAATTATGCAAAAAAAAACGCCTTTGCACACCTGCTTTCAGGAGGTACGGCTGAGAAGAAAACAGCTCAAACTTACGGCAGCAGATCGGGCATTAGTGTTCTGCGACCAGGCAAGTGCCCATATGTCCACAAAGTACTCCCGCATCCATGCCAAGTGGCAAGCAGAGCACAACATAGAACCTCATGTTTCTCCTAATCAGAAAGCTTTGTTTTTGTTCTGGTTTTGTCTGTTTGGAGGTGGTTTGCTCATTTGCGGGATAGTCAAACTGTTAAACTGGTGAGGAGTTGATGACCGGGAACAGTGAAGTTCCAGTTCCCGGTGGATTTGGTGCTGCCGGTGCGCCAAACGATCAGTGGCATCAAGTACACCATAGCCTAACAAAGGCTTACCTCAGGCTGTCGGTGTCCTGGGCATGTGCGCCTAACCTCCGCAAGAGGATGGATGAGCTGCAAATGAGCATTCAAGCCAATCCGTCTACAAAGCCCTTTGGCTTCCAATATATAGTTGTTCTAAGAGAATGTTCTCAGAAGGAATCTATGCTGGGCACATGCTATATATATATATATATAATTGGTGGATATTGCCTCGGTATTGCTCCATTGGCTGGTGCCCCCCTCATTGTTCTAAGTGTGTGGTTTTCAAGCTGATTTGCCTGGCAGGGTTTGAACTTTAGGTTGAGACACTTGTTCTGGGTAGGTCCCAACCAAAGGGCTACAAACCAAGGTGTTCAATCGAAGCATCCATTCGGGCTGATGCCTTTGCAAACCAGCAGCTGAGCACATCAGAGTCCATGGGCAGCATTATATAAAATGTAAACATTGTATTGATTGAATATTAAGAGTATATATGTGTGTGTGTTATGCTTATAAAGGCATCAATATATATATATAGACATAGAGAAAAATACATTTGAGGTAGGTCCAGGTGTTCCGTGCGCTGCATATTAATCTGTACCAAATGTTCTAAGTGTGCTGATGCGCAACCTGTACCTAGGCACAACAGGCTCATTTGGCTGGCCTGGCTTCAGCGTGGGTACATCCAGAAGGAACAAATTGCCCGATGGAAGTTCAATGGACACTTGAAAGTTGTCTAGAAAGCTCTGTTGTTTGTCAACAATACCACTCTTGCATCCATATATGCACACATATATATATATATATATACATATATTGTAAATATGCAATAATTGTGTGGGTGATCAGGGGCATGTGGGAACGTGGCATGTTCTAAGTGATGCTCATTGCAGGCAATATGGAAGAGGTGGAGGCTCACATCAAAATGCACCGGCAGAGCATGCAAGATGTTCTTCAACTAACAGAGATACCGGAGCTTGGTGGAGACGAGGATCAAGTTCTTCACCACATGCGGATCAACGAGCTCGTGGCGTGGACTTGTTGGGAAACATGTGCAGAGAACCACCAGGGCACTAGCTGTTGAAATTGTTGTATATATTTATACATAAATATGCTATGTACAGTTTTATCGGTATTCTTTACAAATAAAAAGGAATCTATGAGCATTTTGCTATACTGTATAGATATATATATAGGATGCCGCGAGGTGTCGTCTGCGGTCTACTTTCTGTTTCCTAAGGCTGATGAGCAACCATGCCAATGGGCATTGCAGCAGGGTGATGATGCTCAAAGCAGGCGTCCACTACCACCCTGGATGGGAACCATCTTAGAAATGAGAGTGGCGCAGTTTGTGGATGAGCACTACAAGTGGGAAGAGAGGATCTTGAAGCGAGATTCTGCCGGAAAGTCGCTCACCCGCTTGCAAACGGAGAAGCATAGGCAATGGAAATTGGGTGCAAATCCCAAGCTCATTTTTGACAAGGTCAAGCACAAGATTGTTCTTGATGCCAAGCATGTGAATCGCAACTGTGTGGCCATGCAGTTACACCTTCACGAGGACCCGGCCCAGCTGGAGGTGTCTGCATGCAGTGGCATGCGATTTCGCCTGGTGCTGCTCAGTGGTCCCAAGACTGAAGCCGCAGACCCACCAAACGAGTTTGATGGGCCCATTCCTCAAGACATCATTGATGAACTTCAGGAAGAGCAAGAAGATGACCATGATGACATTGGGGAAGAAGCACAAGCTGCTTTGCAGGATGAGGCTCAAGCCAAGGCAGCTGCTGGTTGCGAGACATTGGAGGATCTTCAGCAGGAAGTAGATGAAATCCTTGGAGATTCCGATGACGACGTGCAGGCGTATGGGACACCAGCAAAAGCAGCTTCAAAGGTCAAGGATTTCAGCAGCCGCCCAGCATGGGTGAAATTAGAGCAGCTTGGTTTGACTCTTCTTCCGCGGCACGTGAAAGGCTGTTCGATCGGCTTTCACAAAACCACGAATCAATGGCAAGGATTTTATCCTGGCGCCAAAGAAGGTCTTAGCGCCAGCTTTGGTGCCAAAACAAAACGCTCGGAGGCAGAAGCAATACTTAGGGCAATTCGAGGCATTTTGAAGGCTCACGTCGCTTCCAACAAGAAGGATGTGATGTGGAGCACACAACTCAACAAAGTTCTCACAGCAGAAGCGACCATGTAACAAGGCCACACCGCCATGTAGTTTGTTTAACACTGTAGTGGTGACTATATCCTTTTTAACTTGAACAAGAATATAAATGTTCTAAGTGTATGTGTTTGACAGCAACTCCTGTTCAATGTGAGGGTTCATAGCGGAGTGGTGGCATGCAGGAGGCACAATGGGTGCCAGTTGTTCGGGCATCCAACCGAGATGCATTGGGGGCAGAGAACCGACTCTGCTTGACTACCACACGCCGCCCAGCACTTTATATATATAGGGATATATATAATGTATATATAACTCTTTAACTCTTGTATTTCAAACTAGTGGTAGTTACCCTATCCTTTTCGCTGTTATGTCAATGTTCTAAGTGTAGTCATTTGGCAGCAAATCCTGTCCAACGTAGCGAAGCCGGGTGGTGATGCAGTTTGGCATCCAACTGAGATGCATTGGGATATGC